TCCATTCATATATACACACACCGTAAACCCATTGGCGTTGTATTGATTCTGACTCATAGCAACCCTATAGGACAGAGTAGAACTGCCCCATAGGGTTTCCAAGATGCAGCTGGTGGATTCAAGCTGCCAACCTTTTGGTTAGCAGCCAGGGTCATAACCACTGCACCACCAGCCTCCCCCCCCCCCCCCCCCCTCCCCCCCCCCCCCATATTTCTTTTATAGCTTATTAAGGTTTTTTGTTTTCATTTCTTTTTTCTTTTTGGTCTATGTTCTTGCGGGATATTGGTCTGTAGTTTCATTTCTCGTAACATCTTTTGTTGGATTTTAGTTTCAGGGTTATATTTTTCTCATGAAACAAATTGATTACCTCTCTATTCTCTAAAAGAGTTTCTGTAAGATTGGTTTTATTTCGTCCTTAAATGTTTGCTAGAATTTATAAGAAAAGGCATCTGGGCCTGCTATACTCTTTGTAGGGTGGTTTTTAACTGCAAATTCTATTCTTTGATATAGGGCAAAAAGGTTTTCTACTTAATCTGCTATCAATTTTTATTATGTTTTTCAAAGTTTTTGTTCATTTCCTTTAAGTTGTTAAATGCGTTGTATAAAGTTATATATAATATCCCCCCATTGTCCTTTTAATGTAGTAATTCCTGTAATTTCTTTGCTTCATTCATGATATTGGTAATTTGTTTTCCTTTCTCTTTTTAGTTTAATCAGTTTTACTAGGAGGTTGTTAATTTCACTTATCTTTTTAAGGAAACAACTTTTGGGTTTAGTACTTTTTCTCTATTTCTTCTTTGTTTTCTATTTTATTAATTTCAACTTATTTTTGTTATTACTTTTCTCTTCCTTTATTTAATTTCAGTTGGCTCTTTTTTAGTTTCTTCTGGTAGAAGCTAAGATTTTTAGTTTCTCTGCTTTTCTAATATAGGCGCTTAAGGGTATACATTTCCCTTTAGCTACTGCTTTAGCAGCATCATACACTTTGATGTGTTGTATTTTCATGTCTTTCAATTTGAAAGATTTTCTGTTTTCCTTGGGATCTTTTTTCCCCTCTGGCCCATGGTGTGTCTTTTTCTACCCTTTACAGATAGTCCTCAACTTACGATGGGGTTCCATTCCTACGACTCCTTCCTAAGTTGGCTTTGATGTAAGTCGAATACCTCTTTTAAGTATAATTATTATTGCTTTTTATTATCAGTATCTTTATAAATCTGATCTTTATTTGTCTTTGAGTGTTGGAAACATTACATATATACATCAGCAAATTATGCACTGCAACATTGTATGTAGTAAATATTACTAATAATAAGATGTTAATAAAATAAAGATGGTCGTAAGTGCAGTTCGTCGTAACTAGAATACATCGTAAGTTGAAGACTACCTGTATTTTCAACTTGTTGTGTCTTTATATGTAAAAAATTTTTTATAATTTATTTTGTTGTTGAGAATATACACAGCAGAACATATACCAATTCAACAGTTTCTACACATACAATTCAGTGGCATTAATTATGTTCTTTGAGTTGTACAACTGTTCTCACCCTCCTTTTCTCAGTTGTTCCTTCCCCATTAACATAAACTCACTGCCCCCTAAGTTTCCTATCTGCTCTTTCGAGCTGCTGTTGTTAGTTTGATTCCCACATACTCATTGCTGTCAAGTCAAATTCTGACTCATAGCGACCCAATAGGACAGAGTAGAATTGCCCCATAGGGTTTCCTGGGCTGCAAATCTTTATGAAGGTAGACTTTTATCTGCAGAGTGGCTGGTAGGTTCAAATTGCCAACCTTTAGGTTAGCAGCTGAGCGCTTTAACTATTGTGCAACCAGGCCTCCTTGATCCCATATAGATAGATCCTAAAGCAGCACAGTACTCAAAGCAGGCATTCTTTACTAGTTAAGCGGAACTATAGTTTGAGTTTAAGAAGACTTCAATGGATATTTTTGGCTTAAGGTTTAAAGATTATCTTAGGGCAGTAGTTTTGGGGGTTCATCCATCCTCCATGGCTTCAGAAAATCTGAATTCCATGAAAATTTGAAATTTTGTTCTGCGTGATTCCCCCCTTTGATCAGGAGTCTTCTATAGAATTTTTTATCAAAATGGTCGGTAATGGTAGCTGGACACCATCCAGTTCTTCTGGTCTCATGGCAAAGGAGATGGTTATTCATGGAGGCAATTAGCCACACATTCCATTTCCTTCTCCTGTTCCTGACTCTCTTTCTTCGATTTTCAGGTATTTTTTGAGCATGGCCTTTCTTAACCCATATGCAAACCTTATTCATTTCAACACAGTCCAAGGGCTTGTGTAAATGTTATTTATAAAAAAATAAAATTGATGCATGATGTGTATGTATGGGGTGGGGTGGGGTATGTGTGGTGTATGTGTGTATATATGTGTGTAGGGTGTGCAGAGGTGTGATGTGCGGTGTGTGTATGCATGTGTGGCGGGGTGTGTGTGTGTGTGTGTGTGTGGTGGGTAATGAGATGCTACAAATTATGAGCTCCTCATAATTCATTATCTACCTGCTAAGAAAGGTATACGAAGAGGGCTGTGAGGAGCTGCTGAGTACCACAAAGATCTCTTCTGATTATGACATTTTAAAAAAATTTTATTGTGCTTTAGGTGCAAGTGTACAGTGCAAATTAGTTTCTCATTCAAAAATTTATACACAAATTGTTTTGTGACATTAGTTGCAATCTCCACTATTCATCATAACTCCAATACGCCGTAAGTCAAAGACTTCCTTTGCTTTCAAGACAACTTGTTGTATCTTTATATGTGAAGTTTTTCATTTGGTTTTTAAAATAACAAAGTTGGGTATTATATTATTATTATTCATTCTGGTAATTTCTGTATTTCAATTAGAATTTTTAGTCCATTTACAGTCAACGGAAGTATTGATATGGTTGAGTTTTATTCTTGTTTTTAATCTTTAAAGAAGTGTTTCTAGCATTAAATATGGCTTGAGTAGGTTTTTGTGAATTCTGATTGGTAGATTCCATAGTTCCCTTCTACTTTTAGTTTACTAAAGATTTTGATCTTAAATAGGTACTATATTTTCTCTAATGGTTTTCTGCATTTAAGATGGTCATATTTTTTCCTTTATTGTTTATATCTATGAATTACGTGAGAAAGATCTGTTTATGTTAAACCATCCTGGGTTTAACATATGTTTAACATTTATGTTGCATTCCTATGATAAACCTTTGCCATCTGTTCATTCAATTCATTGATATTTCTTGAGTTCCTACTCTAGTGCCAGAAACTCAGATTTTAAATGATGAGGATACACCTGTGACAGCGGGGATGGGGAGGTAGGCAGAAAATAAATAAAATTTATGGGCTACAGATAAGTACCTACAAAAAATAAAGCAGGAAAAGGGAAAGGAAAAAAATAAAATTGCAAATCTATTTCAAATAAGAAAGCAACATTTGGGTAATAAGCTGAAGGGATTATGTATGAAACTGAGGTATTCAGTAGAAGACCATTTTGCTCTGAGATGACAGTAAACATGAAGGGGTGCTTAGTTCAGAGAGATAATGGGATGGAGGGGCAGTTAGTGAAGAGTGTGCTGTTAAATGTTTAACAACCTTCTTTCCAAGAAAACAAACAAAAAACCACCAGATTTGTACCACCAGTTCCTGTGGTGTAAACACTTTGCCATGGCTGACATCAAGCTACCAAAGTGAGGTCAACGAGTTGGCAAAAGTTCTGGAATCTTAACCATTTCTCAAGAGCCAGTACAAGCTGACTCTAGTACATCACTGGGTCTTATAGACCAGAAAGGACTAAATTTAGCTTTTACTCAGAGTAAGATGTGAAGCCATTGGATGGCTTTAAGAATATAAGTGAATAGTGAAGAAAGCCTCAAGTAAAAGGATTGTGTGGATAATGTCACCAAGATTAAAATTAGAGTCTCAAAAAACTTTCTCTTGGAACAATTTTAAACTTGAGAGTAAGTTGTTGTCACAATGCCTTGTCATCCCGGAATACTTCAGTGTGTATTTTCTGCAAACAAGGACATTCTCCTACATAATCACTACGCAACCCTCAAAATTCGGAAATAAGTTACTACCATCTTATACTCAGACCTCATTCAAATTTTGCCGTTTGTCACATAATATCCCTAATAGCAAATGGATTCAGTCCAAAATCATACATTCACACATTGCACTTAACTGTCCTGGCTCCTTTGTCTCTCTCAATCTTGAGGAGTTCCTCAGTTTCCCTTGACTTTCATGATCCTGGCCCTTTTGAAGATTGTTGTTGTTACTGGGTGCTATGGAGTTGATTCTGATGCGTAGTGACTCAATGTGACAAAATAAAACTGCCCCATAGGGTTTTCTTAGCTGTGATCTTCACAGGAGCAGATTTCCAGTTCTTTCTCCTGCAGAGCTGCTGGGTGGGTTCGAACTGCCAACCGTTTAGTTGACATTGGTTGCAATCCCCATGCTGTGTCAACACTCCCATTTCCACCCTAGGTTCCCCATTTCCTTTCCTCTGGTTTTCCTACCCCTTCCTGCCTTCTTTTCTTTCATTTTGGGCAAATGTTACCCTTTTGGTCTTATATAGATGTTTTGTTCTACAGAGCACTTTTTTTGGGTGTTTTTATTTTATAGGCTTGTCTGTTGTTTGGCTGGAAGGTGGTTTCCAGGAATGACTGCAGTTCCAAGTCACAGGGGTGTCTTAGGGCCATAGTCTCGGGGATTCCTCCAGTCTCTATCAGGCCAGTAAGTCTGGTCTTTTTTTATGAATTTGATTTGTTTTCTACATTTTTCTCCTACTCTGCCCGGGACCCTCTATTGTGATCATGGTCAGAGCAGCTGGTAGTGGTAGCAGGGCACCATCTAGTTCTTCTGGTCTCTAGGTCGTGTAGGCTGTGGTGCATGAGGTCTGTTAGTCTTTTGGACTAATTGCTCCTTTAAGTCTTTGGTTTTCAACATTATATTTTTCATCAATGAGAAATAACTTGTTTGGGTTTTATTTTTAATTACTAGAGAGCCCAAAGAAGGAGATATGCCCGTGGATATTTCTGTAATGCCATCCTCACTCCAAATGAGAACACCTGGAAGCTGCACAGAGCTCTGGTTTCCAGCAGAGGTCAGGCTTGTACCTTCCTCTTGCCGTGGGCTTCAGTATGTGGCTGGAGATGGACTTCACCTGCGGCTGCAGACGCAGGCAGAATTAAGCACAAGTGAGTAATATTAGCATTTCTGTTTCTGCATTTATTTTTTCAATGTAAATTAAAGGTGATTTTTCCTTTGAAAAGTTAAATTCCTCCCATATGAAAATAACTACTCGTCGGTGGTATGGAAAGAGCTGAGGATCCAGATAATTTAGTTTTTTTTTTTTTGCCAGCTCTTCCATTTACTAACTGTGTGCAGTTGAACATATCATTTAACCTTTTTGAGTCTTCATTTCTTTAATTGGAAAATTACCGGTCTCACAGAGTTAATGTGAAGATTAAATCAAATGGCAATTGTGCAAAACCTGGCTGATTTTTTTTATTTTTTATTTTAGAATTACTATTTTATTGTCATTTTTAATCAGATGGCACATATAGTCTTCATATGTGATCTTTTTTTTGTAAATAAAAAAGCTACAAATTATGTTTTAAACAGACAATGGCTGGTTATGTTTTCAGAAAACATAATTAATTCATTAATCATGGCTTCATGTTTTTCCTTATTAACACCAGAAAATTCACCCACCTTTTGTCCCTTTTTATAAATGGACTGCTATGTGTTGGTTTACATATTGTTTGCATTCTTTGGTCTTCTGTTTCTTTACATTTTTTAAAAAACATTTTACTCAAATATCTGACAAGGAAAACTTTCAAAGGTCTGTTCCATAGTGCATGAAAGGGTATGCAAAATAGATTCCTCAGGACTTAATTGCTTTAGTGCCTACCACATAATAGATGGTGAATAAATCTTTGCTTAATGAATAAATACCAGATAGATGAGTACTGCTGTAAGCTTGAATCAAAATGTAGGAGGTGAGTTTTGAAAATTTTAGCATTCAGTTTATGTTTCAGAGTTTTTAAAAAGTTCACTTTTCAACTGTAGGGAAGTTCTTTTAAGAACAACTGTAGTAAACATCATATTGTTACACTAATTTGAATGTAACATAGGTCAATTTCCCTGAAATGGAACTGACTACGGTAAAATCTGATATGTTTTTTTAGTTACCATTGATTAGATTCCGACCAAGTGTTAAGTTCAGTGCTCTCCCAGGACTCCACTGTCAAAGTTCTGAGTTTTTAACCGGAGCCAATATATCATAGGGGCCCTGGTGGCACAATGGTTAAGAGCTGGGCTGCTAAACAAAAGGTCAGCAGTTCGAATCTACCAGCCGTTCCTTGGAAACCCTATGGGGCAGTTCTACTCTGTCCTGTAGGGTTGCTGTGAGTCAGAACCAACTCAACAGCACCTAGCAACAACAATGTATCATACTGTTTGGCCACCAGAGGGTAGTGTTTCACTGAAAATTTGTTTATTGGTTTTGGAAAGACTGTTTTGTATGTCTTACCCCAGGTCTCCTTTTTAGCTCCTTAAAGTTAAAGAAAACTGTTTATTTCACCTTAGTGCTGAGGGATTTGTGGCCACCCCAAGAAATTAAGCTAAAGAATTTTTAATTGTCGAGGTTTAAACTTTCTAATATCAGTTATTTCTATTCCTTAAAGTCTGTACAAAGTGATATAAACCAAATTCAAATTGCTTGATTCTAATGGGTATGACCTCATTTCTTTAACTAGATTTGTATAGACAAATATTTTATTTTTCTTTTGAAATGAAAGTATTCTTTTATTCTGAGTGAAGTAAGAGAACATGTTGTCTTACGCTGCTGTTTTCACTTAGTGTGGGAAGTATACATTTTCCACATCTTTTGTCAGATAATGATTTTTGCTATTGGAAGATTGGACTCTTCTTAAAAGCCTTTGCATTCCCAGATATGTGCCCACTAAGGACCTGTTTCAAGATCCATTTTGTTTATACATACTGGTAATGTGCCAGAGTGGACGTAACTTGTTCAAACCAAATAAAATTTAAATTTAAGGCTCGATTTACCAGCAGTCACCATGCTGAAAACTGTAACTTAAGACATAGCAAAGGAAGGCTGAGAATGGTGAAGATCCATGCAATTATCTAGATGTGAAGGAAATAGTTTTCTGTCTTTCTTAATATTAGTATTTACAGAATGAGAAAAATAATTCAACCGTATGTTATATGGATAATCTAGGGGAATACCTAGCTCTGGAACATTTAGCTAAATCTGTTGTTTTGGAAACACTTCAGTATTTGCTTCTGATTGAGTTATCAGATAATATTAATTAAATGTGTACTTCTGAGTAGACATGAATAGTGTTTATTGATGAGAATTTATTGTGGCTGTTAAACTCTTTAAGTACGTTAATATATTTCTTTCAAACATCTGAGATTTGCTGTTTTAATTGATTTTCTTTAGAACCGCTTTCATTGTTTACTCAAAGTCCGCAAGTCCAAGAATGTTGCACATTTTATTGCCAGTCCTGTGGTGAAGTCATAATAAGGGACAGGTAAGAAATGCATTTAACACTGATTAATTCTGGGCTTGGTGGTGGCTTTCTCTTTTTCTGTCATAGTTTTTGAAGTAATTGCCAAGGAAACAGTTTATGGCTTAAAATGAGAGCTAGCTTAATGCCACTTTGAGCAAAATCAACCACAAAACTCTCCAGCAATCACAAAGCGGTTAGCTTTTGTCAGAGTGATAAAGGGGGAAAATAGGATGTTGGCTTTGAGGGAGTAAGGCTTATCTTGGCAGAAGAGCCTGTGCTAATCACCAAAGCACCTCTCTTCTAAAGAAGACATGTAATCTATCACACGTTTTTTTCCATCACGGTGAATGAGATTTTCCACATTAAGTGAATCTTCTGAATAACAGAAGCTTATCTCTTTATTGAAGGAGCCCTGGTGGTGCAGTGGTTAAAGAGCTCAGCTGCTAATGAAAGGTTGGCAGTTCAAACCCACCAGCTGCTCCACAGGAGAAAGATGTGGCAGTCTGTTCCTATAAAGATGTACAGCCTTGGAAACCCTATGAGGCAGTTCTACTCTGTCCTGTAGGGTCACTATGAGTGGAAATCGACTCAACGGCAATGAGTTTTTGAGTACCTCTTTATTATGAAGCAAAACTTTTTATTGGAACCATTTATCAGTCTTTCTAAAATCCATTTTCTCTTTCTCATTAAAACAGAATACAGAACACAAATCAACCTTTTCTCAATGATTAGGTTAATCTTGTAAATTTTAGGTTCTTCAGCGGATGTGCTATGATTACCTCATTGAGATGGGAAGGGTGCTTTGCTGTATTCTTTGCATTCCCAAGTCTGCTCCTTTAATTCTTTTCCTGTCTTCTCCCTTCCTGCTGTCAGCCTCCTTGTTTTTTCGGAACAAACCCTTCTGAATTTTCAGCTTCTAATCACTCATAGGCTGGAGAGACAGATCAATACCTTATTTTAATAATATTTGAAGGAAGAATTTAGAGTTCTCCATTGGATGAGCTTCCTCTGAGTCAAGCATCTGAGCCCGATATGTGCACAGATCCTTTTCCATACCTGAAACCTGCTCCACTTCCAGTGCGGATTGTCTCAATGAATGCCAGACCTTCTATGCCCATCCTTATATGCGCTTCCTCAAGGTAGAAACCTGGTGTTATCACCTTGGCTTCCTTCCTGCCCCTCACTGCCCACATGTAGTCGTCACCAGGCACTTTGCTACATCCTTCTTGGCATTTCTTACATAAGGCCGCTTTCCTCCATCCCCAGTGCCACTACCTTAGTTGATCCCACTGTCTTGTTACATAATTACACTTGTTGTTGCGTTCTTATCTGCTTAGCCTTCCTCTAATTTTGCCTGCATCTCCTAACATTTTCTAAATTACTGAGTGATCGTTTTAAAATGCAGCTTACTCCCCTGTTCACACACCCATCCATGGCCCCCATTTCTTTCACGATAAATTCCAAAAGTCCTTAGGATGCCACTCAAAGCCCTTTGTGGGTGCATTTCTGTCTACCTCTTTCTCTGCCTTTGTATTTCAGCCCTCTTTTCCCAACTTCCTCTCCTCCTCCTAAAAAACAGCTTTTTATCTATACACATTCTGTGCATAGCTCTTGTGGTCCCACATGGAATCTCCTCATGCTTTTGCTTACCCTGTGCCTTTATGAGAGTGACTCCCTCTCCTGGAATGCTCCCCATATTCCTGTCTCCTCGTGGTTAGCTCAGGTGAGAGAGCATCTACTACTAGAACCTTTGCCTGAACCTGAGTTGGTTTAGGTGCTCCTCTAAGGCTTATTTGCATGTCTTCCTGACTAAACTGTAAGCTCTGAGGGTGCGTATGATTGACCCCTGTATCCCGTATCTCCCCCCACCAGTCACCCTGCATATTAAGGTTTCAGTATAATGTGGTGGCTACTAGTGCACAGCAAAAGCCAGATCATATGGGTTTGAATCCCAGCTCCACCATATACCACCTGTGTGACTCTGGGCAAGTTACTTAACTGCTCCATGCCTCAATTTCCTCATTGTGAAACTGAATAATAATAGGATCAACTGTTTTAGTCTCCTAGGGCTGCCATGACAAAATACCCAAAGTGGGTAACTTTAAAGAACAGAAATTTATTTCTGTTCTGGAGGCTTGGAAGTTCCTTCTGGGTCCTTTATGAGAGCAACTGTTCCATTCCTCTCTCCTAGTTTCTGGTGGCTGCTGGCCGTCCTCGGTGTTCCTTGGTTTATAGACAGATCCTCCCAGGCTGTCTCCCCCTTGTATGTGACTGTTTTCGTGTCTGTCCTTCTCTTTTATAAGAAATCACCCAGAAGGGATTAGAATTAGCACCTACCCTATTCCACTCCAGTATGACCTTATTTAACTTAACTGATAATATCTGCAATGAAAAACCCTATTTCCCCAAACAAGATCACATATGCAGGTTCTGGGGTTAGGACTTCAACATATCTTTTTGGAGAACACAATTCAATCCATAACACCTACCTCATGGGGCTATTGTGAGGATTGAATGAGTTTAAGTGTTTATGCGTGCTAAGCATATGTGTTGGCTGCTGCTATAATTATTATTCTTTTCTTCATCATCATCAGGCACAGTGCTTGGTGAATAATGTGTTCTCAAATTCTTTGTCAGTTGAATTGAATAAAATTTGGCGTGTTTATTTTGGCCTTTTACTAGCCTTTTTTACATGATAGTATATTTCCTTGCCATCCTTTTAATAGGCACATTTTTCCACATGCACACCGAGTCTAGGATCAGACGAGATATGTAAAATTTATCTTGCCTTTATTATTTTTCTTGTTTGCTTCCTAATTCCTAACAGTGTTGCAAGTAGATAAGATTGCAGAAAGTTACCGTAGTGTAAGTGGAGGGGATGGGGAGTTGTTTAATGAATGGAGCATCCTCAGAATGACTATCTTGGGTAAAAAATGAGGTGCTTCTAAATCTACAGAGGAGAGGAGAACATCTTTGTTCAGATTACCTAAAGGTTAAAATTGTTGCAGAGTGCCTCCGCTGTAAGAGGCTCATTTTAGCCTGAAATGTCCAGGGGATCCCAGTTTACATCGTAGTTTAACCAAGAATGTTTTCCTTCCCTCAGTCCATTTCCGGCTTTGTGTTAATTCTCAGATGAAGCTTCTGGAACATTCATGCCTGTATTACAAAGAGATGACCTAGAAGTTACAGTAGGAGCAATTTAAATTCAGTTTAACAGTATGTCCTGGTACTGTTTACAGCAACGGATATGTTCTTTCATTGTTAGTTGCTATTTGTGTTTTACTGGAAAAGGATGATGATACGAAAAATTTCTACCTGTAGCCTCCATTTTTTCTATTTAGGCGTTATATCTTCTGTTTTGTGTCAGTCGTTTTTATGATCATGGAACTGAGATTATGATCATGATGTAGGAGGACTTAAAGGCTAATGTTGAAGGACAGTATTCTCCCTCCCCACCACGGAGTATTGGGAGAACATGTAATGTAGAGGAAAGAGTGGGAGAATGGGACTTGGGTTTGAATTCTAGCTTCATCACTTAGTATTTGGGGAACCTTGTCCATGTCACCTCCAGAGCCTTAGTTTCTTCTTAAGTAGGCATAAATTCTATTTTCCAAACTTGTCAATAGAGTTAAAGGATGTAGCATATATAGTAATAAGTTGGTTTTATAGATTTCTTCTATCCCCTTTTCCAAATAGTTCTTATTAGCAAAGTAGCAAATTATTTAGTTTAGCGTTTCAACCCTATTTGATTCAGACTGCCATGGAAATGAACCACCTTTCTTCCTTTTTCTCTCTGAGAAGATAGACAGTGGACTTTACTTAGCAGTTGCTGCACTTAAGAGAGGCTTACCTGAAAGCCTTTTCATATCATACCTGTGTATCTGGCATGAGGATGCATCCTGGGCAACCCAGAGAAATCTTGGGTGATTCAAGGCTTTGCTGATATTACCCTCTTAGACAGCATGCCCCATGACTCCTGGTTTTATGGAAAAACATACTTCTCCAGCAGTTGCACACTGGTTTCATGTTGACTCTTTATATTAAACCCAGTGGTCTTCTCATTTCTTCCTCAATTGCGTTTTTTATATGTGTGATAAGGAAAACTTCTCTGCTTGTTTAACAGAAAACAAAACCAAATGTTTTTCAGAAGAGGCTTGTATGTACTATCTTCAAAATTAAACAATTGTAAACATCCTTCCTAGGAAGGTGCCTTGGAGTATGTCATTTATCCACACTGGCAGCTACTCTAATAGGAGCAGGTTCTGGGGTTAGGATCAGTGGAGAGGAGTTACAGGTCTGCTTACTGGCTAGCCTTATTACCTGAGAACAAGTCAGTTTCATTCCCTGGGCCCCAGTTTCCTCATCTATAAAATGAGGAGGTTGGATCAGATATACACCTATAAGATTCCTACCAGAACGGAAATTCTGTGATTAGTGGACTTCACAAAGTTGTACCTTGGTTCTGTGATTCGTGGTTATTTGAATAGTGCAAGACTAATGCTTGTTCCTTTTTTAAATGAAAATGGTTCTTGTTAAGTAAATTATAGAAATAATGTGCAAAGGACTATTCAACCTACTAAGACTCATTAATGGCTTTTAATAAATTATTAGCCCCAAACTAAAACCAAACCCACTGCTGTTGAGTTGATTCTGACTCCTAGCAACACTATAAGACTGAGTAGAACTGCCCCATAGGGTTTAAAGCCTGTAAATCTTTACAGGAGCAGACTGCCGCATCTTGCTTCTGTGGAGTGGCTGGTGGGTTTGAACTATGGACCTTTTGGTTAGCAGCCAGGCGCTTTAACCACTGCACCACCAGGGCCCCTTATTATTAGCACCAGGGTACACAAAATCTGCTAGTTACGGCGGTCTTTTTTCCCTTCATTCTTAATTTAGAATCACATGTTCTTATCCATTTGTCTTGGTTATTTGAAAACAAATAATGCCTCATTTATTTACAACAAGATTCTCCAGTTTACATTTTTCACCATTTGAGAATAGTTTTCTAAAAATTTGTCTGA